AATAAGGAGTTAGTTAAACAGAGTTAACAGCTAAAACCAACAGGAAGGACAGAGAGTAACCTGAGCAGCCTGGTGGGTTGCTAGAGACTTCTAAAGGCACTGGCATTTAAACTGGACGGAAGAGGGATTAGGAGAATGTGCAAAAGATTACACTTCCTAATGTCCATCTTGTGCTTGTCATAAAATGTTCTCAGGTCGCCAGACTGTCATTGACTAAGAAAATAGTTTATATACAGAGCAAAGTTGGAAGATAATGGAGTTGGGAAAGGCACAGGAAGACTGGACAACATGCAGATGTTAACCCCACTGCAGAGGAAACTAACAACTCCTCTGCTAGCAACTCCTCTACTAGACCTGAAAGATGAGACCTTTCCTGTAGTAGGAGAGGCTTGTTACTCCAGGCCAGAGGACTGTTATCAAGACCCTGAGTTAGGGAAAAACATGAGGGAGGGAGAGATTTCAGAAAAGCCCCATTCAAGGTCTGAAATGCCTTCCTCCACCACTCTAGAGACCTTTTCTACTTCATTCAGTGTGGGCAGAAAGACAAGCTTGATCTTAGGAAATACTGCCCTTCATGACTGCAGTTCACGGACTCGAAGTGTCTGACCTCCAAACCAGACAGCCCTTTCCATCAGCGTAACTCATAGAACCCTTGCCCTACAAGCGACCTCCTCCCTATGAAAAAGGCTTGGTGCCACCAGTTTGTATCCCTTTCTATCTGAGATTCTTATACCACGTTACTTCATTAACGATCTAAGCATCACCACAGTTAAGAAATCTGCCTGCTCCTGACCTTTAATCCTAACACTCAGGAGGCAGAGGCAGGCAGATTGCTCAGAGTCTATGAGTTTGAGACCAGCCTGGTCTACATAGTGAGCTCCAGGATAGCCAGGGCTATGTAGAGAGACCCTGTCTCAAAAACAAAAAGAAAAAAGAAAAAAAGAGAAAGAAAAGAAAAGAAGGAAGGAATGAAGAAAGAAAGAAAGAAAGAAAGAAAGAAAGAAATCTACTCCATAATTTCTACATAATTACATAATTATCTGGTAACAAATTTATCCCCTCATACCACCAATTGACATCCTAGTATTACACAAAAAAATAAATCTGAAACTCGGGTCCATTTTAGCATCTGCATGTTTGGAGACACCTACTCACCACAGAGCTGTGTCTGTGAAAGACAATGAAGCAGGAAGGCGCAGTCCCTGCCCTGCCCTGCCCTGCCCAACCCACTCCTACATAGCCTGTTCCATTCAACTGTCTCTTTAACTCCTAAGGCACCAAAGACCCTCAGGCCTCTGTGCCTCCCTTCAGGATGCTCAGCTGGCTTTACAAGTGGAGATGGTGAACTAAGGCTCCTGGGTTTCTGCGTATTGTTCTGGAACTCTCGCAGCACGCATCCCCTAAATCTAAGCCAAGCCACTAACCTGGACAAAAGAGAAAGCAGCCCAGGAAAGGGGAAGGTAGCTGCCTGACCAGAGGAAAGGGAAGGCTGCTCAGCGCTACAGAGAAGAGACAGAAGAAAGATGAGAGCAGTAAACTCTGTCCTGGAGGAGGAGCGGTGCGGGCACAGGACGGAAGGGGGGAAATGAAGGGGACCTTCCTCCCAGAGCTCGTTTTCTTTCCTGGGTAGAAGCCTTCCCGCCCCCCCCCCCCCCCCCCCCCCCCCCCCCCCCCGTGGCCAGCGCGCGTTTCCCTCAGCAGAGATACTGTTACTTCAAGCCTGTGCTCTGTGCTCCCCCTGCCGGCTCTGACACAGCAGCCGATGTAAAGCAAGGGCAGCGAAATGCCAACGCACCTGGGGGCCCTCAGGAATGGTTGCTGCTTCTCTGGGATTCGGCTACACTTTCCAGCCAAGATGGGAGCTCAACCTTTTCTCTATTGTTTTTTTTAAATGGAGTTAGAGGCGGATGGTTGATAAATTGAGCCCATCATGGTGTGGTGTCTTAGGGATTAAAAAGATTGGAATCCTCACCTCTGTTCTTAGGAATTTACCAGTTAAAAGGGAGGTGCTGGCAAAGAACACATTCTCAAATTAGGAAATTTCTATGACAAACTCCGTAAATGCTGGCGCAGATACGATCGCTCATGTATGAAGAAGTCACTCACATAGGCCAGGACATGCTCCAGCAAACATTCATTTCGCTGAGCAGACTGGTTGCAAGGCACTGTGAAGTCATGGAATAGCCGCCGTCCACTCTGATGCTCACCAGAGAGGTCACAACATGTTTGTACACTCTAGTCTGTTTTATGAACTAGGTTTGGGGGTGACATTTGGAGAAGTCAAGGTCACATAGCTAGGAAGTAGCAAAATTAGGATATAAAGTCCACAGTGCCACACTGTCCTGAAATCCATCTTGAAAGAGGAGGGGGTGGAGAACCTAGGGTCAAGTCAGGGCCAGCTCTCTCTGTCTCTGTCTCTCTGTCTCTCTCTCTCTGTCTGTCTCTCTCACACACACACACCACTAAATAAACAAATAAATAAATAATTCTAATTATTTTAAAGAGCCTCTAGGCTAGAGAGATGGCTCAGTGGTTCAGAGCACTTATCACTCCTGCAGAAGACCCAGATTCCATTCTCCAGCCCCAAACAGGTATCTCTCCAGCACACCTACAGCGATATGGAGGTACGGACAGGAGATGCCTGTCTATACCTAACCTGGAGTACTCAGAGCAACACAACAACAGAGATCTTGACTGAACAAGATGAAAGGAGAGAATCACCTCCCAAAAGTTGTCCTTTGACCTCCATGTGCACACCGAGCATGTGCACACACACCAAATAAAATAAAATGTAAGAAAGTAAAATGATTTTTTTTTTAAGCATTAGTTCCACACTTGCGCCTACCAGGTCACTAGAAGCAGGCTAAAACCTGGATCTCTGCCTTCGTTTCCTTTACCTTGGGTCACAGGCTGACCTCTACACATAGTCTCAAGCAGTGTCTGTCCAAACTCCAGTGACACCTGACCTACTTCGTCCCCCCCTCTACAGCTGTCTTGGGGTTACGACTGCTGTGAGAACACGCCTACAGGTTTGCCTCCTACAGCCCAATCCTGTAGAGCATTCTCTCTCTTTTTTTTTTTAATAATTTATTTATTATGTATACAATATTCTGTCTGCCTACAGGCCAGAAGAGGGCACCAGACCTCATTACAGATGGTTATGAGCCACCATGTGGTTGCTGGGAATTGAACTCAGGACCTTTGGAAGAGCAGGCAATGCCCTTAACCTCTGAGCCATCTCTCCAGCCCTGGAGCATTCTCTTAACTGAGGGCCCCTCCTCTCAGATGACTGAGGCATCCATCCTGTTGCCAGGTTTACAAGTCCTGTTGGGCCTGAAGCTTATCAATTCAGGTAAGCCAACAAGTTCCAAAGATCCACCTGTCCCCACCACTCTCGCTCCTGGGGGGGGGGGGGAATACTACCGCGCCTTTCCTTTTCTTTTTAATTTTTTGATTAATTTAGTTTTTTGGTTGGTTGGTTGGTTTTTTCGAGACAGGGTTTCTCTGTAGCTTTGGAGCCCTAGAACTAGCTCTTGTAGACCAGGCTGGCCTCGAATTCACAGAGATCTGCCTGTCTCTGCCTCCCAAGTGCTGAGATTAAAGGCACGTGCACCATCACCACTAACGTGGTTTCTGGGAATCCGAACCCCGATCTCCGTGGGAGACTTTTACCTACTCCCAGCTCCGCAGCCAGTGAACTATATTCTAAAACCAGGTCTTCCTTTGACTAAATCACACACATAGGTAAGGCCCGAGCAGTTAAACCGCTCTTAATGTTTTGACGGACGACCAGGACAGAGACCTCTCCAACCCGCAGCATCTTCTGTGACCTCACCTCTCCAGCCTCTGCAGCACCCACGGGTGGTCCAGCCTCCTCCCCTGCCAATCAACCGCTCCTCGCGCCTGCGCGGAGCGGCGGCCGGGCTGCGGCGAACGATTGGAACCCGCTAGCCCCGTCTCTCACTGGCCGGCGGGCTATGACGATCACCTACAGCTGCGTTGCTAATGGCCGGGCGGTCCTGGCGGAGGTTGATGAGGGCTCGGCTCCTCGAGGGTCCGGACGCGGGGGGGGGGCCCGCCCCCGCCCCAGCGCTGACTCCTAGGCGGGAGCCGCGCGTGCGCCGCCCAGGGGTTAGGCCTGGTCCTGCACGCAGGCGGCTGGCGGTGATTTCTAGCCATCTCCAACGTGACCCAACTCTTAGATTTTCCCTCTGTCCAGAAATAACCGGCAGTTCAGCACACACTTAGTGGCTACGTAGTAGTTGCACAAGCCCAACGTCATGAAAGCGAGGGCCACCCCGACAGCGCAGCTTGGCATCCCAGTACTCAGGGTGGTGAGGGCCATGAATTTGAGGTCAGCGTGGACTTCATAGACGCGCTCAAAAAAAAAAAAAGCACAAAGAGTAACGCAATGTTAGAGCACTTGCCCATAGTATGGGAGGATGAGTTTAGCCCCAGCATACACACACACACATAGTTCCCCTAAAACTTGCCAGATGTCATCTAATATTGTGTGTATTGTATCTGGACCTTAGATCCATATAGTTTTCCCAGAGGGTAAAAAGTGTTTGGCTGGAGATAGACACAACCCATTAAGATGATATGGTTATAGTCTATAAATCGACTCTAAGGTTCTGAGCTAAGGCACTCAAGGGTACGGGTGTAGAAGTGTGGCAGGTCCGGAAGAAACTTGGTAAATGCCCTCTAGCGTTGACACTTGACTGAATATGTGGAATGAGGGCTGTAAGTGTGCACAGGACAATTCTCGAGTCTTTCGTTGGCAGTGCTGAACAGCAGAGGGTACATAGAGAAGGATAGGACTAGGGGACTCAAAAGGCAATGCAAAAGGAAGGCGACAACGTGCCAAATCGTGTTGCTTGTTAAAAATTCAATACATCGTATATGTTTATTTTTCTGCCTCATTTCTGGAAGCCAGAATGGGTTCAGGAGGTCATAGATGTGATAGTCTAGGACCCGAAAGTCTGGGTCTGGCACCGGAAATGAGAGTCGTGTGTCAGGCTGCCCAGAAGGTGCGCAATGAGAGAAGGGAAAAGAGAACCCTCAGAGCGCGAAGAGGTGGGTGACTGCCACTGGGTCAGACAACAGAAAGACGCCTGAGGGTCATACTGAGGCCTTTGGAAGAAATAAGAGAGGCCAGACTGCTTCGGCCAGCTGAGTAGGAAATGAGGAACTTAGGATGGGGAGACCCTTTTGTCTGAAATTTATATAGGAAATGGAGGAGAGTAGAAACTGGAAGAAGCAGGACCCAGGACGGTGGGTCCTCGGTTGTTTATATGGAGACATTCCCACCTATGTGACCTTACAGAAAGAATAAGTATAAGACGGGGCAGGGCCATTGGTGAAGCAAGGCCTGAAGGGGCACAACTGGCCAGCAAGAGAGACATGAGCTTGGCCAGAGCAGCACCCTCTTGCTCTGAGAGAAAGGAGGGGTGTGGGTGTGGAGCATTCGCTCAGCCTCCTCCTGGAGTTCCTCCCTTTGCCAGTCCCTAACATACTGGGACTCCTTCTTAGCGTCACACAGACACGAATGGCGTCTTTCCACTTCAGTTACATCCTTTTGGAGTCAGATGGCCTCATAACAGAGGTCAAACAAAACTAAATCTCCTTTCTGCAGGTGTTTCTTCATACGCTTCCAGTCTTGTTGAGTTTCCCTCCTGAGACACTCAGGTGGGGGCTGGGAGTTGCCCTCCATCCTCTCCCGTTTTTGTCTTCACGTCTGTTCATCTGGCACCTCTATGCGCTCTCGCTCTCTCTCTCTCTCTCTCTCTCTCTCTCTCTCTCTCTCTCTCTTTCTCTCTCTCTCTGAACCAAATCTTCATTCCAGCCCTAATTACTTCTTACCAAGCTTACAGAAATGCCTGTTGGCTTGTCTTCCTCAAAGGCTGCTTCCACAGTGCTGCTCAGGTGATTGTTCCCCCAAATACCTGCAGTTGGGCCCCCCTCCCTCTCATCACATTAGGCAGCCTCCAACTGCATTCACAGTAAAGCAAGCACTCCTCCCGTGGGCAGTCAGGCCCTCCTGAATGGCTGGGCTTTTCCCTGGCTCTCTCCTTCCTTTATGCCATTGCCCTGTCCTCTGCTACCTTAAACTTTATGCCGCTTTCTCACCACTTCTTGCCCCTCTTCCTGGAGACCACTTTTCTCCACTTTGGGGCAGTATAATCTCATCTGTTCTTTGGGAGTTTTCTCCCTTTTTCCGTGACTCTGTGCCTAGGCTAACTGGAGTCTTTCTGCCAAACAACTTAACGAAGCTGAACTGGAATCTTCTTTCCTTTGCTGTCTCTGCCATCAAACTTCAAAACAGAGAATATTTCATCTCCGTCTCCCCAGTCGAATCCAAAGCCTAACAAACAGTGAGCCCTCAACACGCCTTGTTGAGAGGAGAGAGCTGTCAGAAGTGTCATAAGGCCTCTCTTTTTAAGCACATAGGAGGCGAGAGCACAGAAGAGGGGGCACCCTGCAACCCAGGATTTGTAAATTACAGGTGCGGAATGCCTGCTGTGCTGACAGCTAACCACAGAAGGCAAACTATAGCCCGGAGATTCAAGAGATAGTTACAATTTAGAGGGAGGAAATGGTATCATGGCTTCCCTCAGTGCCAAAGATATTCTCTCTCTCTCTCTCTCTCTCTCTCTCTCTCTCTCTCTCTCTCTCTCTCTCTCTCTCTCTCTCACACACACACACACACACACACACACACACTATTTGAAAAAAAATAGTACCAAACATAATCACAGAAGCTAACCAACTACTGTTCTGGGATTCTGAGGTTAGACTGGATTCTGGAAGTCATGTGCTCAGTCTTCATTCCTCCCGGAAGGAAACCGACCCAGGCAACTCAGTGGCTCTGCAGCATATGAACTTCCAAACACAAGAACCCCCTTTGTCACATGCTCGGTCTCATGGGGTCATTTGTTTTCGGTCTTGCTGTGATATCATAGTTTATATTGTGCAAAAGAAACACCTGGGGGGAGCTAGAGAGGTGTGTTTTATTGCTAATAGTAAAACAACAGAAAAGGCTATATTCCTTTAATTTTTCAGGTGTCTTAGGAAATTCTGTCCTAGAAAACGACTCCTTGACATCTCAGGCAGTAGCAATTACTTTCTACCATGAATAGGCTTTACTCATCCATAAAAGTTTCTATTTTAAGTGTTAGTTTGTGGGAAATGAGAAAGTTAATTAGGAGTGCGGCTCTCTAGGGCTGCCCGGGTAACTTTCAGATCCTCTCATGCTTCTAAAGTAAAAGCATGGGATTCTACTTCATGCGCTCTAAGGTGTTCAGCGCAATTATAGTACCTTAAGCTTTTCCCCGAGGAACCACCCTTATAAGGAATAGGCAGCTGCAAGAGTTCTTGCAAATACTAGTTTTTAAAGAGCAATGAGTAGGGCTGCTGAGATGCCTCAGTGAGTAATGGCACTTGCTAGCAAGCCCAATGACCTGAGTTCAATCCCTGGAGCCCACCTAAGGTAGAAGGAGAGAACCAGCTCCCAAAAGCTGCCCTCTGCACTCCACATGAGAGCCACTCAGAGCGACAGGATGCACCCCACAGATGCACACAGGTAATAAACAGTTGTTTGGTATTGAAGGAATTACTAACTTCGTGAATAGAAGTTTGCTAAGTGTATTCAGAGAGTAAGAGACAGAGTTTGGGACCGAGGAGATGGCTGCGGGGATAAAAGCACTTGCTAGGTAAGTGCAAACACCCGACTTCAGATCCCCAGAACTCAAGCAGAAGTTGAGAACACACAACTTGAGAACATCTGTAATCACTGTGCAGAGATGGGAGACAGAGACAGGAGCATCCTCAGAAGCTCACGTGTGTCTCTGGCACACGTGCTGTGATAGTCACACACACACACACAAATGCACATGCAACTTAAGAGTGTGTGCAAATGTATGAGATGTATATGCTTCTGTGTATGTGTTCAGAAGCCAGAGGAAGGCATCAAATATCCTATCGTTGCACCTTCTACTTTTTGAGGAGGGGTCTCTCCCTGAACTTAGAGTTCACATTATTTCAGCGATCCATAAGGATCCCCCTTTCTCCCTCTTTTCTCCCCCAGCACCCATATGGGCATACCTAGGATCATTCCTGGCTTCTTACATGAATGTTGAGATCTGAATTCAGGTTCTCTTGTGTGCATGAGTACGCTTAACAATTGAGCCATCTCTCCAGCCTCAAAACATTTTACATGTAGTTTTTCTCAGTAACTGACATTGGAAAGCTACTTGAGGGATTGGGGATTTAGCTCAGTGACAGAGCACTTGCCTACACCCTGGGTTCTGTCCTTAGCTCTGAGGTTGGGGGAAAAGACACAATACTTGATTGGCTACTGTTTCCTAGCCTTAAAACCAAACCTAAGATCTTTCTATAAAGATATGATTATCTAGTTTTTCCCCGACATCTTAAGAAGGCTGCAGTGGTCGTCGCCACTCTCCGAGCTTCATCACGCTGCCCAAGGATGACAAGAAGAAGAAAGATGCCGGAAAGTTGGCCAAAAAAGACAAAGACCCAGTAAATAAGTCCAGTGGCAAGGCCAAAAAGAAGAAGTGGTCCAAAGGCAAAGTTCGGGACAAGCTCAACAATCTAGTCCTGTTTGACAAGGCTACATATGACAAACTCTGTAAGGAAGTGCCCAACTATAAACTTATTACTCCAGCCGTGGTCTCTGAGAGACTGAAGATTCGTGGTTCCTTGGCCAGGGCAGCTCTTCAGGAGCTCCTTAGTAAAGGGCTTATCAAGCTGGTCTCAAAGCACAGAGCCCAGGTAATTTACACCAGAAACACAAAGGGTGGAGATGCCCCAGCTGCTGGTGAAGATGAATGAACAGGTTCAATCAGCTGTACGTTTGGAAAAATAAAACTTTATTAAATCAAAAAAAGATATGATTATCTAGTGCAGCCTATTATGCACATACTTACATATGTACATATTAACATATTTTGCTTTAATTCAAACACATATTTCATGGCTTCTTGCCTCTTATCACTCATGAGTCATATCAATGAATTCTCTTAGGAAGAGGGTTTTTCTTAATAAGCTAACCAAAACATTGGTAATTTTAGAAGGAAAATACTGAAGAGACACTAGAGTCCTCCATAAAATAAAGGTTGCCTTTTTTCCTAGGAAGCAACGGCAAAGGTGCTTAGACAGGTGCTTCTGAAAGCTGAACCAGCAACCATAATCCAAATAGGAAGGTAAGGAACACCCTATCATGAGTCTTCTCTCAACAGCTATGATTCCAGCTGATGGTTCTCATGATGACGTGAGGAGACTAGCAACCGTACACACGATTGCCTGGCCTCGCAGGAAGGAGGAAAGCAGAACATCACCCATGGAATGATAACCGCCAAATTCAGGGTACCGGCTACCTGTGTAGAGAGGGGAGGGCGACATCACAGCATCTGCAGAGTCCTGACTGGGCTCAGGTGGTTTTGGTGTACCTATAACATTTCATTTGCCCGAACAAAAGGAACTTCTACTTTAAAATATATTTAGTAATGTCAATAAGAATAGCCACCATCATTAAGTTTCACTTGGGATATTATATATATTCTAAACCAGTATGAAACTGTAGTTAAGACACAAGGGGGTGAGTCAAGAGCATTTGTTATTTTAAGTGGCTTGTTGCTGTTGATGTTGTTGTTGTTTGAGACAGGGTAGCCCAGGCTAGCCTTGAACTCATGGCAATTGTTATGCCTTAACCTCCCAAGTGCTAGAATTACTGGTGTGGGCCACTTGATCAGTCTTTCAATATTTTTTAATGAGTTTATTTTAACCTGTTCAAAAAAAGAAGTATGTAACACAAATAATAAAAATCCAGAGACAGAATTTGGGGTTCAACCCAAAAACCAGAAAAACAAAGCAGCCAAGCCACTAGAGAAGTCTTCCCTCTACCAAGGCTGGTTTTTTGAGACAGGGTTTCTCTGTAACTTTGAGCCTGTCCTGGAACTAACTCTTGTAGACCAGGCAGGCCTTGAACTCACAGAGATCCACCTGCCTCTGCCTCCCAAGTGCTGGGATTAAAGGCATATGTGGCCACTGCCCGGCTCATTCCCACTCTTTTGTGACTGTAACTAGCTAAAAGCAAATGGTTTGAGTGCTCTACTTGAAGCCTACATACTTAATCAGATATTTATCACAGGTCAGAATTCTTATAATTAGTTATCTGTATGTGTATGTATACGTTTGTGCACACAAAGAAGCCAGAAGAGGCCACCAACTGTCTTCCTCTGTCACCTCTCTCCCTAGTCCTTTGAGGTAGGGTCTCTCTATGCACCTGGGACTCACTTTTTCTCAGGTAGGCTAGAAGCCAGCAGGCCCCAGTCATCCTATCCCCACCCCAATCCTCACAGAGCTGGAGTTACAGGGGTGTGTTGGACATGGGTGGTGAGAGTCCCCCATGATTGTGGGACACCCAAATGCTCCTAACCACTGAAGCATGTCTCCAATGTCCAGAATATTGTTTTCAAATGAAGGTAAAATGCACTTAGTATAAAATTAGCACTTTGAAAGTAGACAGGAAAATGACAGTACATTTATAGTGCTGTATGCCCTCACTTCTGTCTAGTTCCAAAACATTTTCACCTCCCCTAAAAGGAAACCTCACCAAATAGTCACTTCCCAGACCATAGAGGACTGCATTCTCCC